CTGTGGCTCTTATCAAAGCAGAGGCATCCCCTATAGCACTGAGGCACTGTTCTTTAACATAAGACTTGACTTGATCAGGAAAACTGGAGGGAGAGGGAGAAAGGGAGAGGGAGGGAGGGAGGGAGAGGGAAGGGGAGAGAGAGAGAGGGAGGGAGGGAGGGAGAGAAAGGGAGGGAGAGGGAGAGAGAGGGAGGGAGGGAGGGAGAGAGAGGGAGGGAGGGAGAGAGAGAAAGGGAGGGGGAGGGAGAGAAAGGGAGGGAGAGAGAGAGGTAGGGAGAGAGACAGAGGAAAGGAGAGTGAACACAGAGCCAAAATCGAAACAAACTAATACTAAAAATACTCCAGTAATGAAGAATGATAATTAATAACATCTGGACAACCACTTTCTAACATTACACAACACCACACCACACAATATAATAATAATAATACCATATATGACCCAACCAATACTCCAATTAATGCCCACCTCACCTCAAGTAATACTCTCGTACGTTATTTTTCAAAATGAGGCCAGCGACAGAGCGAGTTGGTTCATCTTCCGATTTTAAGTGAACCATGACGTAGGCGAGGTAGCTATTAAAATCAGGAAACTGGTTAAGAGTTTGCAGACGCTATAATGGAAAGAGGGGGAGAGTGTCAAAATATATGTAAAATATCCCGTTCCCAGCTTTCCATTCCTGGTTTTCCATACCTCGTGGACTGTTCTCTGAGTCTCGTTGTTCGAGTGCTGGCTCTCTTTGAGTAATTGGACTATTTGGTGAAGAGCGGACGGCTCGGGCTGCCAGGGGACGGACATTATGCGGGCCCAGGACAGCTAGAGCTTCAGTCTCGGGAGAGGGGTCTATAGCTTAAGGCAAACACTAACTGAAACGAAGAGAGAAAGAGGAGAGAATCCCACCATCTCATGCCATAGCTCTTTACTGCTGTGCTGTGCTGCGCATGCGCAATGGGCACACCCACCAAACCCACCACGTGACCGCCTACTAATTAAAAATGGCCGGAAAGCAGAATTGAGAGGCTCAAAATTTTTTATTGAGCATTTTATAAAAACAACAAAAGAGAAGGAGCAACAGACTTAATAATAATAATAATAATATATCTTAATAATAATGATATTATTTTTAATGAAGTGCATTGGCATTAGTTGCATTGGTAATGGAATGTATTGCAAGTGTTGTTGAAACGGTTCCTGCTGTTGTGGGCTGCACGGGACTATAACTGATCTGCCTGAAATAAAAGAACTAGAAAAATAATAAATAAATAAATATAGAGACATTGCATTTGATTGCGAGTCTACCTTAAAACCAATCGCAATCCCAGCATGAAGTAGTACAACAAACAGCATAACAATCAATGATACCTATAAAGTACATGATATATACGGATACAATGTACATGTACAAGTATTCACTGTTGGATCTAGAGGGAGTTAAGGTCTCCTATTCTTAAATCCTTCCTTTAAAGCTTTTAATCTCCCATATTTAGTGAATAGATTGGCCTCCCAAAAATTAATTTATTCATAGTTCCAACAGTGATACTTATCAACTGGTTGCGTATAATACATGTATGAACAATGACTTACGTTCTTGGTTTCATTACGGAATGTTTGCCAGAGTGACATGGTCAATACCGATCCTATCATAAAATAAAAAGACACAAAAATGTATACATGTACATGTATTATACCAGTAGCGTAGGAAGCTGGGGGGCTCCTGAGCCCCCCCCTTAATTTTTAATTCTCAGTCTATTAATTAATTCATTAACAATAATTTTATCTTAGCCCCCCCCCCTTCTCCAAAATCTTACTACGCTTCTGTATACATGCACAATGTATTTCAACAGTAAACACAATTTAAAAATTTGTACTCCCTATTCTGGTGAAAGACAAATGACTACTCATAGTGCATGTACATGTACATGCACAACATGTACAAGCTAAAGTCTATTCACTTTCACCTGACCCCTGGCTTTTTTCAATTAATAAATAACTACGTCACATCCGCATTCTTTACGTATTTGTGGTTTTGGAATTGTTTTTGTTGCGCGGAAGGGATGCAGATAAGTAGCAGCTGAATTTATTTTGGCTGTTTTAGCTGCATAATTGCGGTCAAAGGTATGCCATTGAGTTTATACAGGGACATCCAAAAAAGGCTAAGGCCTTATCATTTCGACCCGATTTTTTTATCTAAAGGACGGGAAGGACCTAGCGATTCTAATGGTACAAACAAAATTTCTAAATTCCATGTTTATCAAAAGTTATAACAAAAAATCAATAGGTCAGGTGAAACTGAATGGACTTTAGTACTACAATGAAAATAATACCGTACAGCTAAAAAATTTGGAGTGGTAGAATTTGGCGAATCAACTCTAAAGAGGTTTGAAGTTTAAAATTTTGGTGATATTTCAACCCTGTGCATACTTCTATGGAACCCTATCAGATTCGAGACTTAAATTATGGCGAATTAACTTCCATTTGCCAATTTTGCCAAATTTTTATTCCACCAAATTTTCTAGCTATAAAGTATATGTTACAGCTTAAATCTGGATTGACACTCATTTGTACACAACTAAATGTACATGTACACTATGGGGGAATTAAGGTTTATTGATCTGAGACATTTATGGATGAGCAATATAAACTGATATAATTAAGTTATAAATTACCTGAAAGGGCAATAGCTACAATTAGCAACAACCACCTCAAAGCCTCTATATTAATCAACCAAAGAAGCTATAAAAATTAAGAATAAAAAATATGAATAAATAATGAGAATTAAAAAGCTATTAAAAATAAGAATAAAAAATAATATTAATCAACCATAAAGCTATTTTTAAAAAGAATAAAAATAATATTAACTGACCAGAAAACTATTAAAAATAAGAATAAAAATAATATTAATCAATCAGAAAAGCTGTTAAAAATAAGAATAAAAATAACATTAATCAACCAGAAAAGCTGTTAAAAATAAGAATAAAAATAATATTAATCAAGCAGAAAAGCTATTAAAAATAAGAATAAAAATAACATAAAAATAAGAATAAAAATAATACTAATCAACTATTAAAATAAACTTTTAAAAATATTAAAATAAAACATTAGCTCCACTAACTGTCAATGGTATAAAGGCAGACATGGAGTATCCGTACACTGTCAGCAGTTGAAATAAAGAATATCTACCATCAACTTTCCTCCAGACCATCAGCCCCCACAGACCCAATGGAAGGCATATTGTGTACACGTATATGCAAGTTAGGAGGACTATGACCTCGTGGAAATGAAAGTCCCATTTAACACTGCCACTACAAGACAATGAAGAATCATTGTTATTTTTATAATCACAATTATTATAATTATCAGCTCATTTTTATAATTGTGTATGTACATTTACATAAACTGTGAATTATAAATTAGAAAAATGCTAAAATTTTTAGAGAAAAGCCTACATAAAAAGTTGAAATAGTACATGCTATATTTTATGTACACGTAGCTTAGAGACAAAAAACTTTTAGTTCTCGTTATCTCAAACATAAACTTTTAATTCTAAACACAGTTTCAATAAAATACATTAGCTCATGTATAATGTATACATGTACATTTAAATATAAATTAAATATAAACACAATAATTCGTTACCTGAAGAA